GCACCGGGATTTGAGGCAATCGCACCACCATATCAGTCTACAAAACTTATGGGGGCATTGCTGATGAAATTGTTTGTGACACTGTAATGTATCACTGCACAGATGTACAGATCTTGATATACTCCCTTTTAAACAGGGACCTGCTAGCAAAGGAAGTAGTATGAATAGGCTTCTTACAACCGTTACAAACAAAAATATACATTTGAGGAAACTTACAAATCCACAAAAAATGAGCTAAATGTTTCTTGGAAAGGGATCGAATATCACTTTTAATATTTCCTGCATTTAAAGCAGCTTGTTAATAAAATACACATTGTGCCATTTATAATAAAAACAGCTCAACGGGAACTCTCTCAGATATTTACATGTACACTGCTTAGGGCAGGGTCTCCTGGCAGATATAAATTCTGACTTTCTTAGAACTGAATAGCGATTAACTCCAAAGCCAAAGTCAATAAAGTCTAAGAAACCTGTTGTAGTCTTTTAAAATTAAATTTTGGTGGCTGAAAGAAGTCTTATTGGTTTATGCTTACTGGTAATCTTAAGGTTGCAAAAGGAAGAGAGGAACAACTCTTTTGGGTGTTGTTAGTAGAAGAGCTTCTGTTTTTCCCAAAGAAAACTATTGGCTGTGTGTAAATGACATGAGAAACCATGGTTTATGGTGACTGAATGAGCCTAGGCAACCCTCAGATGTGTTTGCTTCCCCCCTCCATCTCCAGTTAGGCAGAAGCTATCATTTCTGTTTTTGATCAAGTGCACCATTCAAACTTGAAAAACAGCAGTTAATCTGAACCGTTGTTTCATCAAACCATGGTTAACATAGTTAAGATTAACTACAGTTTAGGGTTTGGAAATACTGCTAAACTATGGTTAGCAGGAATCAGAGCTTCTTCTTTACTTTGGGTGTGCCAGAGGAAGAGGCAAGAGGGGGGGGAAGGTTACCTTAGTTCGTTCCCCATAAATCAGGGATGGGACCAGTGGCCCTCCAAATGTTTTTGGCCTACAACTCCATCAGCTCCAACCATCATGGCTAATAATCAGTATGATGGGAAATGTACTCCGGTAACACAGGATGAACCATAGGTGTCTCGATTATGTGATAAACCATTGCTTATTAGGGTGTCTTAGAGAAGTCACTGTTTCACTCCTGTTATTCCATTCTATTCTGTTATTTAGTTCACACATGCCATGAGGCTGCAATTTTAAGTCATGAAATTTGAATCAATTTATGTGAGCAATGCAACATGTGGGCCAAAAGATCACATTTTTTTCTGATGCAGTAATTTCAAGGATGTTCCAAAAAATAGCCTAGATCATGGGAAATCAGCTTAGCGAACCCCCAAGCTCATGTGATAGGGAGACACTTGCAAATGGAGTGCAATATGCAAAATGTATCTTAATTCTGATATTTCATTTTAGGATCTCAATAAGCTTCTTGTTTATGCGGTTAAGTATTTTGAATTCATTGTTACAAGCACGCCCATGGAATGAATGGGTTAGACAGCCAACTAAATGAATGTTTAGGAAACATCCGGAGAAAAGGAGATGGCTGAACGGAACCAAACTCCTTCACAGTTTAAAAAAAAGGCAGCTTTTTAACTGAACAATGAAAACAAACAATAAACATGAAGAGAAAAATCTTACGGACTTGTGAGTCAGTGTTGTGTAGCGGCTAGCATGTCAGCCAAGCAATGGGGAGGCCAAAATTCAAATTGCTGCTCAGCCATGAAGGACATGGAGTTATCCAGTGTGTATATCTCAGACTAACCTAACCTCTAGGGCTGGGCAATATCTGGTTTTCAACACTGTGATCTATCATCAGCTAAATGCCATGATACGCTGATATATCACCACATCTGGAATGTATATGGGCTGCTTCTTCTTCCCCACTTTAAGGGAGGAAGAAGCAGCTGAGATACATTGCCCAGCCCTACTGAGCAAGCCCCCCTATCGCTCTGACTGGGGTGGAGACTTCCTTAAACTGTTCGGCTGGTGGGCAGGAAGCCTCTCGCCCCCCAGCTGAGCAAGCCCTGATACCATTCTGGCTCATGCGAGCCAGAGGGTGGGGGGGCTTCTTCAACGGCACAGGCAGACAGAGTCTGAGAATTTGCTCTTCCGAAACCTTCTCAGGCTCTGCTTGCCTCTGCCTTTGCCATCTGCAGGCTATTGTTTAGGGAAGTTTTTAATGTGTGACATCTTAGTGTATTTTTGGTCTTTGTGGAAGCCGCCCAGAGTGGCTGGGGAAACCCAGCCAGATGGGCAGGGTACAAATAAATTATTATTATTATTATTATTATTATTATTATTATTGCTGGTGCAATGCATTTCCAACTCAAATTATCTGAAACCGCTATCGCGATCTGAACACCACCCCAGTTTCAGACCATTTATCAATATATTGGCCACCTCTACCTACCTCACAGGGTTGTTGTAAGGAAAAAGCAGGGGTACAGATAGAATGCTATACCCTGCCCTGAGCTTCCCAGAGGATGAATATATAGGGTGGTACCCAACAAAGGATTTCCTCTTGTGCAATGGACTGGTCACCTTCCCCTCCTCTTCCTGCACACCCTCCAATCTGATCTGGATTGAGTGAAGGGAACCCACGGAACAGATTTAGGGGTCGCGTGGCGAGAGGAAGTTCTGCTGCATAGCGCAAAGTCATTGTGCTAGCCAAAGCGCTCAGCCGGATACCGCTCACACTAAAAAGGTAAAGGAATGCAGCCTTGAAATGCCACATGCTCCACCGCCTGGCATTCATGCCATGGTCAAGTGCGCCCTCGTTATCGGTACCTTGTTGTCGACTGTTCTGAGACGGCGTGAAACTCGAGCTGGAGCTGGAGCTTGAACTGGCAGGACTGGGTTGCTCCGACTTCAGGGAAGAATTGCGGGAGGGGACGAGAAAGCACACAAGCAAGACATCAACACAAAAGATTGGTACATTCATTTGTGCCACACCTCCCCACCACCACCACCACAACGCTTAAATAATTAACAATTTACTTTGCAGAAAAAGAGTCTCAAATGAGATCTGCAGCCGTGTGGCCTCCCCTGCGGGCAAAGCTTTTCTTCCTATGCCAATGTGTTGAGAAACGCAAAGTGTTAAACGGTTTTGAAAACAATGGGCGCACTGTTCTAGATGGAAGAGCTATGCTCACAGAGTCAATGGCCACAGAGCTCGTAAGAATAAGAAATGCACGTATTTCTCAGGCAGCAGGGCGGGCTTCGAAACTGTAGGTGTGTCAAAAGGGAAATGGCAGCAATGGCTAAAACAAGCATGCGTTTTTATGGCAATGTGAATAATAAACACTTAATCCCACCAGTTCCAATCAGGTCTGTAATAAACTTAGATTTATTCAAAACAAAGATGACCTAACAGTATTAGGAGACTTGTTCAGGCTTCTGCCAGCTGTTCAGGCCCTTTTGGAGGGAGTAGCTGGAGGACGGGAAGAGAAAAAGGAACACCTTTTCTTTACCTTTTAGCACAGCCAGGAAGACCTCAGAGGTCTGGCTAACAACCTCTGCCTGTTACCCTGGACAGTTGCTGCCAGGAAGAAAATGACAGGGACCAGACCAGACGAATAGTTTGACTTGTTTAAAGGTAGAGCCTCTACCTTATTTCTGGGTGCAAATGATCACAGTTATTTTATATTGTGGGCATATAATTATTCCAAACTACAGTGGTACCTTGGTTCTCGAACTTAATCCGTTCCGGGAGTCCACTCGATTTCCAAAATGTTTGGAAACCAAAGTGCGGCTTCCTATTGGCTGCAGGAAGCTGCTGTAGCCAATCGGAAGCTGCAGAAGCCCTGTCGGACGTTTGGCTTCTGAAAAACATTTGCAAACCGGAATACTTACTTCTGGGTTTGTGGTGTTTGGGAGCTGATTTGTTCGGGAATCAAGACATTTGAGTACCAAGGTACCACTGTATTCCATAATCTATTCAGATTCAATATCCTTCAGTTGCCTAAAGACCTGTTTTCAACAAAACAACATAATTCCACCCCCCTCACTCTTCAAAGTTATTTGGGTGAAGAATACTAAGAGTCCGTTCAAGAAAGATGGATCAACAAAGCACATCCACCTCTGCCAGCAAGACAGCCAAAAATGGAGATGAAGAGACCTATTGCTCAATCCCTTTTCTACAACAATATTTCATAGACCAGTAAAGCTGCCTTGTCCTGTTTTCAATGCATCTTCAGCTCTCGAAGGACTGAGGAGGAAGGCAGACAAAATACACACACAGTAGGAACGGGCAATATATCGATCTATCATCCAAAACTGGTCTGAAGTCCATTTCGTGATATCAGTTTCATAATTTTTGACTTGGCAATATATTGCAAATCATGATGTATGTGTGTGCTATGCACAAATCACAATGTTGGAAAAATTGTGAAGCCAGCCAATGCTTCTATGTAGCTCCATCCTTATTTCAGGCATTGTGATGTATCAGTATATTGCAATGTTTAGCTGGTGATATATCGTGATGTTGAAAACCAGATATCGCCCAGCCCTACTGTTCACCTCTACCTATCTCCATCCGACATCATGATATAATGGTGTCTTGCAATGTTTAGCTAGGGATATATTGTGATGTTGGAAACCAGGTATCGCCCAGCCTGAACACATAGCTCACAATCCTCATCATGGGGTGAGTCTAGATTTGCAACCAGATGGTAGCTGTGCATGCTGGGGAATTGAGCAATGGCTCAGCCAACATTCATATCCCTAAAAATTAGGTAATAATAATAATAATAATAATAATAATAATAATAATTTATTATTTATACGCTGCCCATTGTTTCCCCAGCCACTCTGGGCGGCTTCCAACAAAAGATTAAAAATACATTAAAACATCAGTCATCAACAACTTCCCTAAACAGGGATGCCAGACTTAAAAAAACAGAGTAGAAGCTCTATATGAATGTTCATGGACAAATGAATGGATCATAGAATTGAAAGGGTCATCTAGTCCAACCCCCTGCAATGCAGGAATCTTTTGCCCAATGTGGGGCTTTAACCCACAACCCTGAGATTAAGAGTCTCATGCTCTACCAACTGATCCACATTGGCTAAAGCAGTAGACTTTTAAAAAGAAAGCATAAAATTGCTACGCGGTGATTTCTTGGTAACCGTAATAGTGTGCTTAAATAAAGCGATCAACCCATTCCCAGACTTCCACCCAAACTTGATGTCAGAGAGGTGACTGGGATTGCCACACCAGATGATCCCTGATCTCTGATGCAGTTCCAAGGTTGGGGGAAGAAATCGACTGCTCCCCAGAGGCCAGCGGTCCATTTGCTTACTACACAGTGAGCGTAGCAAGCAAAATTGTGTTTTTGCATGGGAATATTAAATGCAATAAGAGACGTGGGTGGTGCTGTGGGTTGAACCACAGAGCCTAGGACTTGCCGATCAGAAGGTCGGCAGTTCGAATCCCTGCGACGGGGTGAGCTCCCGTTGCTCGGTCCCTGCTCCTGCCAACCTAGCAGCTCGAAAGCACGTCAAAGTGCAAGTAGATAAACAGGTACCGCTCTGGCGGGAAGGTAAACAGCGTTTCCGTGCGCTGCTCTGGTTCACCAGAAGCGGCTTAGTCATGCCGGCCACATGACCCGGAAGCTGTACGTCAGCTCACTCGGCCAATAAAGTGAGGTGAGCGCTGCAACCCCAGAGTCGATCACGACTGGACCTAATGGTCAGGGGTCCCTTTACCATTAACTTTATTAAATGCAATGAAGAGACTTTCAAAGGAGTCTCATATATCTAAAACATGTTGAGAACACAAGAATGTTAAGAGCCTTCTGGATCAGGCCAGTGGGTCAACTGGTCCAGAATCTCATTCTCACAGTGGCCAACCAGATACTGGTGGAAAACCTGCAAGCAGGACACTGAGCACAAGAGCCCTCTCCCCAACTGGTTTCAGCAGCATATGGCCTCCAGCTGCCAAGGCAGAGAGCACAGCCTCTGTCACTCACGCCCAGCAGCTACTGAAAGTCTTATCCACTGATAGCAATGTTATCTCTGGCTCTATTCTAAGGCTTCAATTTTGCACACAGTGAAAGCTAGAAAGGACCCCAGCAATGTGTTTGGGAGATATCTTTGTCGCCAGATAGTGGTTCAGCAAGTTCTGGTCATTTCTGGCCTGCTAAGAACTGCCCTAAGATCAAACCTATCCATTTTTAAGGAAATCAGCCCTGAGTGCTCACTAGAAGGACAGATCCTGAAGCTGAGGCTCCAAGACTTTGGCCACCTCATGAGAAGACTCCCTGGAAAAGACCCTGATGTTGGGAAAGATGGAGGGCACAAGGAGAAGGGGACGACAGAGGACGAGATGGTTGGACAGTGTTCTCAAAGCTAATAACATGAATTTGACCAAACTGTGGGAGGCAGTGGAAGACAGGAGGGCCTGGCATGCTCTGGTCCATGGGGTCACAAAGAGTCAGACACAACTAAAAAACAATAACAACCTTGGTTGAAGGAGACATTTGGTGCCTGGCTTATTTAGTTCAAGCTATGATTTTCCCAGTAGTGATGTATGGAAGTGAGAGCTGGACCATAAAGAAGGCTGATGGCCAAAGAATGGATGCTTTTGAATTCTGGTGCTGGAGGAGACTCCCATGGACTGCAAGAAGATCCAACCTATCCATTCTGATGGAAATCAGTCCTGAGTGCTCACTGGAAGGACAGATCCTGAAGCTGAGGCTCCAAGACTTCGGCCACCTCATGAGAAGAGGAGACTCCCTGGAAAAAACTACTAACATGAGTTTGACCAAACTGCAGGAAACAGTGGAAGACAGGAGTGCCTGGCGTGCTCTGGTCCATGGGGTCACGAAGAGTCGGATACGACTAAACAACTGCCCTGCAATGACCACGTTGCTCTCTGCTGGACTGAAAGCTTGCCCCAGTGCTGCACCAGCAGTAAGCTATGCAAAACGGTTGTCCTGGCTCGCAAAGACAGGTTCGGGATATCCATAGCTAAAAATCCACTGCCCAATTAATAAGATACTCAAATCCTTGACAAAACACAGCACCAATAATATCTGGCCTCTGTAAAATTCACCGCTAACATGCACATTCATGCATTCAGCTTGCATAAGCCCAACAGTTGCTCTTCTGCCGTAAATCAATCTATTGTTGCCGTCCGTAACAAGGAGGCAGATTTACAGCCTTTTAAAGCCTTGCCTCACAATCAAAAAGATTGTGAGTAAGTTAATGGAACATCTCTCTTTTTCTGAGGGTGCTGGGGGGCAGGGAGGGAGCTAACATCTGTTCCTCTCAGATGAATGACATCTGTAGTTCTCACAGCTGGGAATCGGAGGAGCACAAAAATTATACACTCTGCACACTGTGGGATTTTTGCCCTTTTCTTTCGGGGTGTAGCTCTTCCCAGAGTACTCCTTGCACCAATGTATAGGAATAGGGTCTACTCTCCAGCCTTCTCCAACCTAGAGCCCTCTAGATGTTTTGGAGCAATCAGCTGGCTGGCACAAGTTGTAATCCAAAACATCTGGAAAAACCCCAGGTTGAGGAAAGCTGGCCGACACACAGAGACTCCTACGTATGTAAGCCCAGTCTGACTCCACAAACACTGGGAAAAGATTGCATGGGCTGTTTCCATTCAGACTGGATTCACTCTGCATTGGACTGAGCCAACATTTTAGGGAGGGGGTGTGTGATATTCTCCCCCCCCCTCTGTGGCCAAACTCTGCTTGAAGGCTTTGGTGAATAGAGCGCAAGCATTTCAAAACGAAGAACTAAATGGGACTGGCTGCGCTTGCTGTAGCCTATTATTGATCCATTGTCTCCTCTCTTGTGTTTTGCAACGATCCCCCACCGGGAAGGAAGGGAGTTCAGAGGAGCTGGTGGGCAGGCACTTGCAGGGGACGGAAAAACATGAAATAAAAGAAAATGCCCAGCAAGATGTACAACATGTGGTGGATATGTGTACAGAAACATAGCTAACAAATAGGGACTGTATCAATGGGGTGGTCAATAGTGGAGTGGTCAACAGTCCAGACCCTCCCCTGCCCTTAACTAGATTTTCCCCGTTACAGGTAGGTAGCCGTGTTGGTCTGCTGTAGTCGAAACAAAATTTTAAAAATCCTTCCAGTAGCATCTTTGAGACCAACTAAGTTTGTTATTGGTATGAGCTTTCGTGTGCATGCACACTTCTTCAGATACACAGTGTGCATGCACATGAAAGCTCATACCAATAACAAACTTAGTTGGTCTCTAAGGTGTTACTGGAAGGAATTTTTTTAGATTTTCCTCCTCTTTCTTTCTGTCTGATTCTCCACTTCTCTCTTAAGCGTCCTGCTTTAAGTTTCTTGTTTTCTTTGGCTTCATGCCCTCCTTTTTCTTCAGCCTTACCCAGTTGAGTCGGAAATTGTGAACAATGCAGAAATAAAACATTGGCTCTAAACGGATGTTTCTAGCACCAGTAGAAACCAATAGGTAGCGTGAACCATAGGCAGAAAACCTAAACGATGAAGACAGGGCATGCAAGTCCCTTTAGCGTGAATAATTCCACTAAGTCACAGCCTAGGACCCTAGTACCTACGGGACCGCCTCTCTCAGTATGCCCCACGGAGGACCTTAAGGTCCAGAAATAGCAACACCCTAGTGGTCCCGGGCCCTAAGGAAGTTAAGATTAGCTTCAACAAGAGCCAGGGCCTTTTCAACACTGGCTCCGACCTGGTGGAACGCTCTGTCTCATGAGAACAGGGCCCTGCAGGATCTGATTTCTTTCCGCAGGGCCTGCAAGACAGAGTTGTTCTGCCTGGCCTTTGGCTTGGAGTCAATTTGACCCCCCCTTTCTTTTTTCCTTTCTCCTTCTGTGATGAGGCTGCATTTTAATGTTTCAATGTTGTATTTTAATCTTGTTTTTAAATTGTATTCATTCAACTTGTTTTTATTATTGTTAGCCACCCTGAGCCCGGCCTTGGCTTTGGAGGGCGGGGTATAAATATTATTATTAATTATTATTATTATTATTATTATTAAATAACTACTCTACCTTGCAACCCTTTTCATAGGCAGGTCTTCCCATTTTTAACTGTTAACATAGCAGGCAGGATTTAATGAGTGCATCTTGCCCTGGAATGGAAACAAAGCAAACTACTGTCCCTCTCTTATGCATGGAGTTACCCAACACTTATGCAACTTTGAAATGGTTAAATGAATAACAGCCAGCTTCACCAGACATCTGGGGAATTTGGTGGTAATACAGCCTAGTACTTAATGAATCAGTGGCCATCGTTGGTTTTGAATTCAAAGGTCCTTGAACCGTGTTTGTCAAATTAAACCATCTGATGTATGGGAATGTGCCATGGACTTTCAAATGATACACTGTAGGACTCTTTAAATGGAACAAGACAAACACTAGCTGCTTATGCATGCAATCCCTAATGAATATTTGTCTTTCAAAATCCAAGCAGATCAAAAAGGTATTAATAAATCAGGCAAGGCTACCAAGTGCAGAAAATGTTTTCTTTGGCTGAAATTCTGGTGTTTTTCTTGCAGAAGTTTTCTACTGCTGAGGTTCACTGCCAAAGCAAATTTTGCAAAGGAAGTTGTCTAAAATACATTTTTACACACACACACACACACACACACACACAAACCACGTGTTTGCGTATCTACTCTAGTAGGCTTCCTACACTAACGTATCATCTTTCACATGGTGATTAAATATAATCTCGATATCCCAATGTTTATCAGGGGACACACCAATACAATGAGTGGTCTCTTCGGAAAAATCAGGAAATAAAGTTCGGCTACAATAATTAACACAAGTGCACTGTCAACCATTCAAAGAAACTTTATACAATGTAAAAAGCTGCAACTATACACAAACAATGCTCCTCTTTTTGATCATGTTGTTAAAGGACAATTGGGGTTTTGCCGTAGATAAGTTAATAATGTGTGAGTGCTCTATTGCTAGTCCATTATTGCAAGTACTAACTAAAATTAGGTGACAAAAAAAACCCCAATAGTTTTTACTATTTTGTTTTTCTAAATGCCACTTGATGCCATTAAAATAATTTCATTCCGAAACTGCGTTCAAAATCTCAGCTATTCTAGTAGCTATCCATTATCCTCAGCTATGTGAAGAATTTTCTTCTACAGCATTAGGGTATCAGTTGTCAACACTTCAGCTAAAATGTTTGCACCCACATAATGGAGTGTGTTATCATCTTGTTAAAACTTCCTCTCCAGATTTATCTCTTAATGACCAATATATATTTAATGGTATTTTAAAACAGTCTCTGATCAGAAATTATTTATTTCGTATACAATTCTCCCATGCTCTAGAAGACCAACACAATTTTATCTTTCAAAAGGACATTTCCCACTTCCTCCCAACTGAAGTGTGTTAGAAGCTCAGATATATAAGTTAGGCGCCAAATGGCTCATTAAACTGGGATTACACTTACCAAAACCAAATGCCTAGTTGCCGTTTTGGGGCCAGACAGCTCGAAAATCGTATTTTTCAATACAAATTTTTAGTTCCTGAATTTTTTTCTGTTTGTGCAGATATCACAGATAGAACTCTACAGGATGTGTTGCTGGTGCGTGAAAACAGTCTGGATCCAAGGATTGCCAGGCAGGCACCTCCAGATGGGGGAGACGTCAGGTCCCATCCTGGTATCTGGGCATCTTCACTTGGTCGCAAGTGGCTGGTAGCCTGGTGCAAAATGCACCTGGCAAATTTCGAACGCTAAAGCTGAGTCTACTTGCCTACTAAGGTCTAGTATACCTGAAGGAGCGTCTCCACCTCCATCGTTCTGCCCGGACACTGAGGTCCAGCGCCAAGGGCCTTCTGGCAGTTCCCTCGCTGCGAGAAGCCAAGTTACAGGGAACTAGGCAGAGGGCCTTCTTGGTAATGGCCTCCCACCAGATGTCAAAGAGAAAAATAACTACCAAACTTTTAGAAGACATCTGAAGGCAGCCCTGTTTAGAGAAGCTTTTAATGTTTAATAGGTTATTGTATTTTAGTGTTTTATTGGAAGCCGCCCAGAGTGAGTGGGGTATAAATAGTAAATTATTATCATCATCATCATCATCATCATCATTATAGCAGGCTAGTAGAACTAGTCCTCACAAAAGGCTCTATAAGGCAGAGAAATCAATTGTAAAGGCTTCTGTGGCAACATGTTATTTGGCTAAATCCTTCTCGTATCTCTACCCTATTCACTTCTCCCCACTTAACAGACTTGGAAAACTACTTTCCCTATTTGGTGACTGGTTGGAGAGTTATCCAATTCCCTGCCAGATCACATGCCCACAGGTTTCATGGCAAGGTGAAAACCTCCAAACCTGACCAAATGCTAATTGTGGCCTTTTCTAGTGACACATCCCAGTACGGTCAAACCTCGGTTCCCGAATGGCTCTGTTTTCGAATGTTTCGGTTCCCGAACGCCAAAAACCCGGAAGTAAATGCTCCAGTTTTCAAACGTTTTTCGGAACCTGAATATCCGACGCGGCTTCCGTTTGAGTGCAAGAAGTTCTGGCAACCGATCGGAATCTGCGTCTCAGCTGTTGAATGTTTCGGAAGTCGAACGGTCTTCTGGAATGGATGACGTTTGACAACCAAAGTTCAACTGTAATGCCGTCTTTTTATTACACCGGATTTTGTTTTCATTTTCATGAAGCCTACCTGCAGAATAAACCGCCTTCCAACTGTGATCGCTCAATGACACGGTCCATCAGTGACACACAGATGGGATCGTTCCAAGCTAACTAAATTGGTCTCACCAAGTATCTCAAATTGAAAGTGCCAGTTAGAGGCTTCTTCATTCCACGTGGATCAGTCACTCCAACACTGTGCGCAGACACACATTAGATGTGCTGTGAGAGGACTGCGAGTGCAGTGGAAGAAAGATAATTAAACGTTCTTGTGAATCCAAAGCATCAACCGAGAGAAGCAGCTATATATATGTCTCTAGGACTCCTTACTCAATCCTTGCCTCCTTCCAAGTAGGCCTTCTTACAATGAGTTAGGGTCTTTCCCATTCCTGCATTTGGTATGACAAAATTTTCAAGCACTCCTAATAAGAGATGGAACAGAAGTATCATGCTGTGAAAAAAACCCAGCAACCTGTTTTGCAACAAGCCAAACACTGCAACTTTTAGTATGTTGTCTGGGAATTGCAGCTGGTATATAGCAGCTCTCAGCTATTTCAGCCATTTCACATCAGCATACTGCACAGATGCTGAAAACTGTGCATAAAATCTCGTTTCTAGGTTACCTGAAGAATCACCATCTCCCTTAGATCATTGTGGAGAAGCCCTCAGTTATCACATATTTGTTCAGTTACAGTGCAAACTAAATTTTTTAGCATTGAAGTATTTCTGTTTCACCGAGTGTTTTTAGAGAATTAATTTGATACTCCCAATCACTCAAATCTTCTGGACCTATAGAGCAAAAAACAGATTTATCCAGGAGAAGTTGGGGAGTCAGCAAATCTGCCATAACCGGTACAGCTCTTTCCACGTGATTTCATATGCACCTTTCCTTTTATATAATAATTTTTATTAAAATTTCAATTTTACAATTTCAAATAATTTTTTTACAAACTTTAAAATATCCAGTGACTTCCCTTTCTTTTCTCTTTCCACGGTTCATTTTACATATCATACCTCCCTGCATATATTACTATACCCATTCAAATCAGTTTTCCACTTTTACATCCATCAAAAATTATTTACTCTGTTGAATTTATCTTAATGCTGCCAGCATTTTCAGCTGTACACAGTCATTTTCCATATACTGTATTTTTCGCTCCATTGGACGCACCGGACCATAGGACGCACCAGATCATAGGAGGGGGAGAACAGGGAAAAAGATTTTTTTTCTTGTTCTCCCCCTCCAAAACAAGGTGCGTTCAAGGTACATTCACCAGAGCTTGTGGGGCTGGCGGTGGGGGGAAGCGCTGCTTTCCCCCACCGCCAGCCTCAAGATCCCTGAAGCCTTTGGAGCGCAGCGCCCCGCTGCCCTGCAGAGGTTTGCGCGCAGCCGTCCCCAAGCTAGAGCAGCGAGACTGAGCGCACCATCTCGCTGGTCTGGCTTTGGATCACCGGCGCTAGCTTCTGCAGGACAGCGGGGTGAAGGCACCCCGCTGCCCTGCAGAGGTTTGCGCGCAGCCCTCCCCAAGCTAGAGCAGCGAGACGGAGCCCTCCATCTCGCTGTTCTGGCTTGGGAACAGCCTTGCTAGCTTC